ATCTATCTATCTATCTATCTATCTATCTATCTATCTATCTATCTATCCATCCAACCATCCATCTATCTTCTATCTGATTTTTCCCCTAAGGTTTCATATGTCAATAAATAAACTGTAATGTTTCATGGAACAGTCATTCTTGGTATTACTATACAAATAAACACAAATTACTGCATACGGTCTTTGGACTTCCATTCTTTTCTCCTGGTGATGAAAATAATAGAGCTGTAATAAACTCATAAGCAGTTGCAGTCACTTAATATTTTACTTAGCAACTGCATCAGTTAGCGATTGAGTTGCCAGTCCCAACTGTTGTCACTAAATGAGGACTACCTGTAAACTCCATAGATCAGATTAAAGTTTTCAAAACAATTACAAACTGTGAACCCTCAATCAGATATCAGTGGTGTGCATAGTGGGAAACAAAGAAGTGAAAAAAATGTGGCTGGAGTTAAGGTCATATATGTTTCTTAGATGGAAACAATAAACCTGCAAATAATGATAGAATGTCTTCTTTGTGAGATTCCTTAGTAGCTGGAAAACAGAAAATCAACTAGCTTGTCATTAAACAGAAAATCCTCGACTTGCAACAGTTCATTTAGTTACACTTCAAAGTTACAGTGACACTGAAAGAAGTGACTTATGACCGTTTTTCACAGTTATGACCTTTCTAACATCCACTGTGAACATGTGATCAAAATTCAGATGCTTGGCAAATGGTTCATATTTATGACCGTTGCTGTGTCCCGTCATGACTTTCTGACAAGCAAAGTCAATGGGGAAGCCAGATTCACTTAACAATGAAGCGATTCCAGGTTACTAACTTATGAACAGTGGTGATTCACTTAACAGCTGAACAACTGAACAACTGAAGCAAGAAAAGTCGCAAAATGGGGCAAAACTCACTTAACAAATGTCTCACTTAACAACAGAAATGTTGGGCTGAATTGCGGCTGTAAGTTGAGAACTTTAAACACTAGAAGATGTAATATAGGTTATTATGCCCCTGCCATCACAATTAATGTCAGGATGCAACTATGGGTATAAGAATGTTATACTTGCTTCAACATTATATTACAATTCTATCCTAACTATTAGCTTTAAACATTAATGCTCTTCCTTTTTCAATGCAGGTTGACCAAGAAACCAAGGAAGGATCTTTATGGTCTCTCAAGACATTCACCAGCATCAAAATCTTTGACCTTGGCTTCTTCTTCTACTGACCCAGAATCACACTAGTCATGGGTAAACCTAAGAAGAAAGAAGAGGCTGTCTTTCTGAGGAAGAAGATCACACTTCTCAGGGCCTTTTCACTTCTCATTGGGAGCATGGTGGGCAGTGGCATATTTATCTCCCCCAAGGGGGTCCTGAAAAACTCTGGCAATGTGGGCCTCTCCTTAATCATTTGGTTTGCCTGTGGAATTCTCTCTATGTTTGGTGCGTGGTGAGTTTCTTTTGTCTTCAGCTTTCAGGGGATCAGAAGTTCTGTTGGTGCAGTGTGATAGATTCTTATTGAATTGGTAGCTGCTATTGTCATATCTAGCTAACTGCTGGAAAAAAAACTCCACATTGGCGACAGGAAGGGCCGCTGGCCAGTAAACACTCAGCTCCATTCAGTTGCCTAGACTCCACTCCACAAAGGATTACGGGGTCATTAAAAGAAGAGGATTGTCATATCTAGCCACCTATGTTGGTGGTTCTGTGTGCTAGCAGAGAGTCTGACAAAAGTTAATTTCCCCCCAAAGAGAGACAGATAATAATAATAATAATAATAATAATAATAATAATAATAATAATAAT